TATGGGATGTGGAATTTCTTTAACAATCAACTACAGTCGAACCTGTGTAAGATGAACTTGTAAAGAGCAATTTTAAAAAATGTCTTAGACTGAGGAATATAGGGGGAGGAGAAAGGAGGGGGGGGGGTCAGAGGCCCTGCCAGTGGGATCAAAAGCACTAGTTAAAACTACACGCCTCTCAAATGCTCTCCTCTCTGATAATCGCATGTGTCAGCCCTATAGGTCCCCTGTTTGAACAGAATCGATTGAACATCTCTTTTGCTTCCACCCTAGGCCTCCTCGGTGTAATAGGCACAATCAACCGATGCTACCCCTAACTGTCATGTAACAACGATGTGAAGAATTCTATTCTCGGCTGGTCGTACGATCAGGGCGGCAGGCATTGGTCAAACTAATTTCACACCTCTGGCCTCTGACTACCAATGAACGTTTCCGTACAAGAGCGCCACTCCAGCACTTTCACAGTTACTGGCGAGATTTCACACTCACATGAACCTGACCATCTGCCCCGCTAGGCCTTCTCAGACCGTGGCCTTCGTGATAACAATTTTAATAACGTAGGCCACGCTCAGACTGAGAAGGCCTAGGCTCACATGGATGGGGTAACATCTACCCTCAAATTGCACCCATGCTTCTCTTCCTGGCCTGGCGGCATGGCAGCATGGCGTAAGAGCCGATTGAACCAAACTTGATAGTTTTGTTTCAAATCAGGGCTGAGTGGACGAAGCATGCTCCGTCATAGACAGACAAAACCCATCCGAAGGGAAGGAAATTCTCTTTCCGATTCCGCGTTAGACAGGTTTCTTTTTCATTAGAGTTAATTTTATTACCTACCAGCTCGCACCCCTCCTATCTAATCCAAACATCTCCATGGGCACAAAGAGACAGTTTATCACCTCAATATTCATACCAAAATTATGTTATCAGTGCCAGACCTGGACCTTAAGCAAAACCCATGAAAGCAAAATCACCGCATGCGAAATGAAATGTCTGCGCAAAACCCTTAACATCACAAGACGAGACAGGCAGAGAAATAAAGAAGTAAGAGCAGCTATCGGCACTGAGTCCTGCCTGCATTCCATAGAAAGACAGAGGATAAAATGGTTTGGCCACCTGTTACGCATATATGTCACCTGACCAGCCAGCCTCGAGAGCCTACAACACCAAGCATTCAGGCTATAAAGGAAGAGGAAGGCCACGCAAAATGTGGATCGAGGGTGTCAAGGAAATCCTAAGAAAACACAACATCACAACTGAAAGAGCTGCGGAGCTGGCCTACCATAGAAAACTGTATCTCCCCTCGACGCTTAACGGCAACAGAGGATGAAAAAGTAAAAGTAAAGTAAGTATAGATGATTTTTTATCCAGGGAGGAGCCAGGAGATTCCGTTATGCCAGGTTTCCGTCTTACATAGGATTCTGTTAATTAAGGCAGGTTCGACTGTATCTCTATTTGTTTGCTGGGATGCTGTATTCAATTTAGCCCGGATTTACACTGAAGGAAGGGTCGACACAACCAGTCTCCTAAATTAAATAAAATAGGTAGGTCTTTTAAGAAGAATAACATGTTTGCAGTGAGCTACGTATTGTATTTCTCTGTCTCTCTCTTAGTGCGGTTGATTGCTGGTTCGGGGGTTCGAGCCTCAGCTCGGTCCGACGTCGTGTCCTTGGGAAAGGCACTTTACACCAATTTCCCACTTGGTTCGGCCCTGTCGGAGATGCGCTTTTCCCTTTCGTCAACCCGCAGCCACCTCCCGAATCGTCAGCCACCCCCAACCTTTGACACGGGTCAAACTTCCATCTA